TCATTTTTTCTTCATTTCTTTTTAATCCAGGAAGTGAACTATTGCACTAAGCAGCCTCAACATCTTACACCATTTAAAAACTGGACAAAAAGTGAGTCATCTGAGATTGAAATAGCTCTGAGATTCATTTTAATTCATCCGACTTAAAAGAACTTAAACCCAAAATCTTATGTATGCAATACAGAAAGTGCAAAAAGAAAGTCTCATAAAAATAACACAGAAATAGAAATCTTAGAAAGTGAACAGACAGGCCTGAATCTTTATTCTGAAGCAGATATTTTCCTAGTCCATGTTCTGTAGAGAGGTGACTCCCTTTTTCACTGCTGTCAACCTCACTCTTTTTTAAAGGGAAAATAGGAATCTATTCCATAGACAGCATATGTAATATGTTTTGTAGCACAGATGTTATCTTCTCACAAGCTACCTCCTTACCAAGGTGTCTTCTTCTCCACTTTTTAGTGTTGCTTGCACTCCATCCAGCATAAAGCAACAACAATCTGTAAATCAGCAGCTGAGAAAGCTCTCCCTTTTTCCTCCTATTTAATCCAGGCATCTAGTGGTTTACATGCTGTTGAAGATACTGTAAAACAAGTTTGAGAAATATTTCTCACATTGCTCATACCAAACACATTCAGACACATTCAGATCCATTTTAATTGGAGAAATCTCTTAAGAAATGTCAAAGCCAGCCATGCAGATGGAACGAGTGACATGAAGTATGTGATGGAAAGCCAGCAGCCCTACTGAAGGATGCATTGCTTATGGAGCCCTCCATTTCTGATGGACAGTAAACCTACTTTTTTCCCACATTGATCTGGTTTATGACTGAAATTGTTTCTGACATTAAAAATTTTGTGGTTCATAACATTCTTAGATTTCTAGAAGCAGAAGCATGATGCTATTCCTGGGAAAGTGAAATAGGAAGAGCTAGTGAGATGTTCAGACAGTCTCTTAGTCCATAATCTGGAAACAGTTCATGGAAATCAAACTGAACTTCAAAGTCAGACATCCTGGCAATCTTTGTCTGGAAGAATGCTGCAGACATGGCCTGGGAAAAGGTGAAGTTCAGTATGCACAGGAGGGATATTTCAAACGAGAATAAAAGAGTGAAACACAATAGTACTTCAAGTGATTTTCTGTGTTCACTAATGTTTTTATTGTCACAATACAATTATCACAATACTGCAATGTCTTCATGTGTATTTTCCTAATCAAGAAATATTATTATGTATAATAGATTAAACAAAAACCAAAACAAAAACAAGCAAACAAACAAATTATAACCCCAGCCTAATTTATGTTGCATTTGAAGAAGAGAGATACAACTCTTTACCAAAGATTTTCAGGAGTCAAACAGCCACAGACCTTTCATTTTGCCCCGCAGATATTTTTTCCTGGCCAAATGACAGAGCATTTGCCAGGAATCTACTAAATAGCAGAAATGCTGCGTTAACTTCATGTCAGTGTGAATTACATCATTTGTTTTGTTCTCTTAACCGCCACTTACTTTTCAGTGAAAAATCACCAGAGAGCTGAGAAATTTATGTAGTATTGCCCAGAGATATGTTAGTTACCAGTTGGATTTACTGTTATGCTGAATGCATAATGAAATACATCATACCTGATTTTGAGAAGTACAAAACCCTGAGTGATAGGGCTGGGATATGACTGCAACAAACCAATTTGTGGGGATAATTTTTTTCTGGCAAAGAGGACGTTGTGGACATCTAGGACAAGTAGGCTGGTATTAACCTGAGACTCCCCTCTCATTATAACTGAGGCATCATGGGGACCGTCCACACCAGAACTTCATAAACTTCGCTAATATTTTTCTTCGTCATTGCGTCCTGAGGATGACATGGAGAAAGAACAGTATCATACAGCAGAGGAGCGTAGCGAGTTATTCAATATCAAGATAATAGTAACAAGATCTGGTGAATTAGTTCTCATGTATTAGAAAACAAATAAAAAGGCAATTTGGCTGTGGTGTCATTCTACGATATCTCCTTTTTGATGACAATACGCTGGCATCAGAACTGTGTACTTCAGCTTTGTTTTTCTCCTTAAGCAGCCTCTGCCTTTCTTGTTATTGAAATATGGGTTCCTATTTGTTATTGCATTGTATACAGCATCACTAAGTTTTCCAGTAGAATATGCAATTTGCTTTTCAGTTAATGACCTTTAAGGCTGTTGGCTATATTACATGCTGTTCTTCTTAGCTGATACCGCACAGCTCTGGGAACAAAGACCTGTGCATTGGCACTGGCTGCTGGCTGCTTGAAATATATCATTTTCTTTGCTTTCCTTCAAGCATATTATTACTTTCTCTGCCCCCTCACACAATCCTGGCTGCAATTTCTTCTTCTGTGTTCTTCAGCACTACTCATAATTGCTGTTGGATATATTTTTTTTCAAATTCTTTTCAATGTCCAAAGGATTAAGTGCATCTCCAACATGGATTGATCTTGGAGTGTTTTTGGGTTTTTTTTTTGAGCTGTTTATTTATCTTTTTTACTTTGTTTCACTTTTGTAGATAAATCTTTGCCAGTTGTTATAGAACAAGAAACACATTAGCTTTTGCTTTTTAGATTGGCAATTCTTCCATGACTTTTAACATCAACAGAGTAGCCTTCTCTCTAGAGTGCATGATTGAATGACTCAAAATAGAGCCATACAATCATTCACTCTAGGGAGGATTTCTCTAGAGAGAGAAGACTGCTTTGTGGTATGCAGACATGCAGTTCACAGTTACCAAACAAACCAATCAGCAGAAATCCAGAAAAGAAAAAAAGCAACAACAGATTGAAAGAAGAAACCCTTCCCTGAGCAAAATATGAGCACACTAAACTTGTGACACTCATAACAGCTTTGCAATTGCTCTGTATTCATTACTTAGCATTCAAGTATGTGGAGAAGAGTGAGAAGTTCTGGTGAGAAACATTTTCTGAACTTTATCAAATTTTATCTTTATTTTTACCACAGAGGACCTGTATATGGTCCTTACTTCCACTTGAAGGTGACTCTATGTGAAAAACAATTTCATTATATTTATTAGTTACATGGTTAATTCAGAGATAGTTTTATAGCACAGAGAGTGTTAATGATAGAGGGACTAATCCTCACCTGGTCTCATTTTACTTTTGAGACGAGGTATCCCAAGAATAAAGCATGATCAAAGTCAGCTTTTCTTCTGTACTTATATCCTGGTACATTTTCTCTAAAAGCTGATCTAATGCTTTCTAGAAAGCCTGGTGCTAAACTCAGCATCTTAATAAGACAATAAAGGGCATGTGGACGGATTGCTTTAAGGATTATGAGAAAAGAAAAAATAGGTTATACGTATTTCATGATTGCCTTTTTTTTTTTTTTGAGAGAGAGAGAGAGAGAATTTAATACTTCAATAATAAATATATATAACCATAGCTACATGTGATTTCTATTTAAGCATTCCTCTTATACAGTATGCTTTCTTTGGGAAAATAATGTAGGAAAAGGTCCTACTGTATTAGAATTTGACAAAATACCTCACGGCATCTTTTCATACATAAATGGAAGCACAAGCTTTGACTCGTATTTCCATACGATGCTTGATTAGTCCTCATCTGCTTTCAAATAGGTCAGGCATCAAAGGGAGATCTGATTGGCAAAATATCATTTAAATTTTTTCATGATAGCAAACAGATAGTATTGATCTGGGGTCCACAATGAAGAACAAACAAAGTCTCATGATATTTGCTTACACAGTCATTTGTCACTGCAAAGCTGGACTTCAGCATGCTGTCCTGAATTAGCCCCACAATTTGCCAAGTACTTTTAAATGATATTCTGTACAATCAGTTTAGCTGTGTTACACTGAGATTAAGTCTGTATATACGCCCCGTGTTCTAGCCAGCAGCTTTTACTCAATACTGAATAGATCAAAAACAGATGTCAGTAAGGAAGTTTTGTCACTAGTTTATGTGATTTTGATGAGGGTTTTGAATGTGAACATCAAGCAACACTTGGATGACATACAGCTACAGTCTAGTAATACTGATAGTGGTAATTTAACACCAGAGACAAGTCAAAATCCCCCAAACAATCAGGACATTATTGTTTCAGAAATAGTCATTATTTTCATTGTATATTATTTCACATTTTAAGAGACTAAAGACTGCGAAGTTGCTATTTGTATTTATTTTTTACCAATTTGAGATATTCTGTAGTGAAAAATCTAATAAGTATTTAACTGCTTTCAACAGCTTTGCATATTTTAATAAAATAACACACTAGCAATATACTAGACTCGTGAATCTCTCAAAGAAAAGGTACAAATTTCAAGTAACCATATGTTTTTATTCTATAGTATCAATCCACTGCTAAAATCTAGTCTGATTTAAGAAATACTGCCTGAATTTGATGTGTGTGTCTATGATAGCTTTCTGAGTTCAAAACAGATTAATAGTCCCTAGAAAAGCTTTGCTGTTTTCTATGAGAAGATAAAAATTTCTGTACCACAGCCTGACTTGTCTATCTAGAAAGTGTGATAATGAAATTGGAATCCATAAGAGAAATGAGAAATGAAAGTGACAGCAAATCCATAAAAAAGAAACTGGTGCTATCACGTGGAATATTCCACCATTTATTTTATCTCAATACATTATCAATACCTCAGCAATGAAGAGCAACTTAATTGCTTAAAAGCTACATCATCCATGAAAGAGGCTACAGATCACCACATATACTGGAGAGTGTCTGGAAGGCATTATTACAGAACAGCTGAAAAGTGACTCATACTTTGTTAACAATACAAGTTACATACAGTTGTAGACCAGAGGGGAAATCTGTGTCATTTGGGCAAGAAAAAGTAGTTCTTGCTTTTCGGGGGTTAGAAATGTGTATAATAACAACAGTTGAAAGACACCAGTGCACATTGATGTACACAAAGTTATTACTGGATCACAGGATCTTAGGTAGCTGTGTGCAGAAGTACCTGTCCTCTGGGCAATCAGTTATTTTTTCAGAGGATTTACAATTTTCCCAATGAAGAGGATGGTATGAGCATATTTATCCACAATCAGCAGGAGAAAGGGCCTGTTGAATCTGACTCGAGGAGGACGAGAAAAATCACCAGATCTCCATGTAATCTCCTTCACTGTGACTCCTGCTGCTTCAGTGCCATTCTCATGAACATTTAGCACAGCTCTGTGGATCACCTGTGAGGATATAAAGCACAACAACCTGCAGAGGGAGACCTGCCTGGGATGGGATCTGGCAGCAGCAACCTGAGGAAGTTCATCTCCAGCTCTTCCCTGCCCACTCAATCAACAATCACATCAGCCCTGAAAGCCTCCATCAACCGAGTGTGCAGAGAGAAATCTCTGTGCAGCAGATGGCCAAAGAGCACTCAAGATGACTGATGATGAGAAGTTCTGGAAGTAAAGAAAGCTGGCAATTTAGCCTGGACTAAGTTTTACATTTGGCATCTTCATGTGTTATCAGAAATCTACCCTATCATCCAGCTGAAAAAACACTTTTTTTTTTAGAGCACTAGAAGGGCAAGAGTAATTGCATTTTTGCCCTCTATTAGAGGGTATTTTACCAAAATTAATGTGCTACCTATAGATAATTTTGTTTAGTATCCAAAAGAACATCTAATGATATGTATGTCCTCCTTGTTCTTGATCCATGTGTTTGTAATCCCTTATCTGCGTGTTTGACTTCAGTTTTAGGAAAGGTATGTTTGTCTTTGTGGCAGATGCTTATGATTAAATCTTGCTTCAGAAAGACTGGGATAAGCTTTTCATTTTTTGTTTGTAATGGATTCCCAGAAATAGAAAAATTCTGTGATCACTATATTTCATGTGCTGACTTACTTTTGAAACCATCAGTCCAGGATCCTCTGTAATTCCTGACAGATCAGCTTGTTCAGTGAATACATCAATTATACCCACTTCTCTGACTATCTTTTTCACATCGTAGGTACCAGAAATAGAAAGTTTTGGAATATGTAGGTGTATTTTTCTGAAACAAATAACATCAAAAGGGACAAATTGTCATCTAGGTAATGTTCCTGAGTGGCTTCGCTTCAGTGACAACTCATTCATATTTTTTCTTAAATGACAAAAGTCTGCTGTTAGGTTTCAAATAGCCCTTTCTACCAGTATAGTTATGTAATGCAGAGGATTGGAGCAGTGTAAGTCCGTGTTAAACTCTATATCCACAGTGGGTTTAAAGGATTCAGAGAAGACATAACTGTATATAAACTCTGCTACCAACAGAGCTTCACTAGGCAGTAGACATCCTATAAGATCATGACTTGTTCTAAGGCTGTTTGAACATAAAACAGCACAGAAACAGCACCTGTGCCAGCACAGAAACAGCTTCAGTATTAGTAAATTAATAAAATTCATCTTTCACACACAGCACTGCAGATCCCACCAGGCCCTCACCACTCTAATACCCAATACCTCAGAAATAGCTACTCCATTTAAGTTTCACAATGCCCATATAAAACAAGCCTCTGTTAACTTCATCACCACAATGCTGAGGATAAAAAGATCAATGCCCTGTTTGTTCACTATCCAGATGTATTTTTTGTTTTTTGAGCTAAGAAAGGGGAAGTCCCGCGCAGAGACTGTAAGTGAACAGAGTTCAGTAAAATAATTCAGCTTTTCAAGCTCAATCTTGCTTACTGCTAAATAATGCAGTGATCTCTCACACTAGGAAAAATCTCTTACCTATCTTGGAGGAGCTTTTCCCATTTTGCCACAGTTCTTTTCAAAAGAGCATCTTCCACCTGTTTCATCTTCCCTTCATCAGGTAAAACAAACAATGCTGCAGCATTTCCATTGTAAGGAATCTGAACCAGCCAACAGGACAGCTCTTCATCAAAGTAATTTCTGTAGTAACCTTTCCGATACATCATGTCAACTTTCACAGATGTTTTCTTATCCACAAAAAAATCTTCTTTTTTTGTGTATGAATCACTGAAGGGTTTCTGCCAATGAGCTTATGACAAAAAAAGAAAAATAATTCAGTGGAATAAAAAGACAAATTTTCATTACGAATAAAATGGAATCTAGTCCCACTCTTTCCCTTTGATTAGAGCAAACTTTTTTTTCCATACTACTTCACCCCTTGGTGTTTAATTACTTCCTACATGCCTGAAGACAGTTACAGAGAAACGATACTACAAACAACATCTTTCACTAATTCATGATTCTATCATCACATTAAATAATTTACCAAGTACAACAAAGGTATTTTCTAAAAATAATCCAATCTCTTGGTCTCAATCCAATTAATCCAATCTCAAGGTCACAGACATCCTCACTGTTAACACACGTACATGATTTCACTGGAAAAATTTTTAGATACCGAATGTTTTCCTCAAAACAAATACTCAAATTACAGTTTCTTTCTTTTATTCTCTGCAAAAAGCAGTGCGTCCAAGTTACAATCTTTGTACCCTTCAGTAATTCTTACCTTTAAAGAAGACGTAGTTAACAAGAACCATTGCGGTGAGAGGATCAAGATTTTCTACTAGTTTAACAATTTTCTTATTTGTCTTTTCTTCAATATAACTGTTGATCTGGATCTCAGCACCAGAGGAGTTGTTAAAGTCAGCAGAAAGGACTTCAGACTGGTAAAAGCTTTTGACATCCTCCAAGAACTTCTGTAGTGGTTTCAGTGTCTCTTCTATAAAAAGGACATTGCCCAGGCTTAGATGAAGATCACTATCTTCTGAACGGTTCAACATACGGAGGAGCTGGCAAAAACCTTCGTGTATTTCTTGATCCTGAGTCTTTTTTAGGTTAAAGGCAAGCCCTTCCAGAATCTGTGTTAGTGTCGCTGACTTGGCACCCAGTGCCAGCATTGCAAGGGAAGCAGAAATGCTTATGGGTGAAAAGAAAATATTTTGATCAGTTGCTTCGGATGCAACCAGCTTGTAAAATGAAAATGCAAAATCAGCATTGCTGTGAACTACTTTGACAAAAGTTTTGTTTTTATTTGGAAAAACTCCTTCCCCGTGAGAACTGCTACCTGGGTAACGTGCTCCTTTAGAATCGTCCTGTTTATTGAGGTAGCGAGGATGCTGATGACATTGGACAACAGAATACAAACCAGCCAGCAGAAAACACAAGGAGAAGGTGGGTTTCATTTTCCTTTTACCCCTTCCTGGAAAAGAAATACACCAAACATGACAGGGAAGTAAATTTCTTCATGCTTGCATGTTTCATACAACTAAAATGAAGCTCTCAAAGTACAACTGTCTGTTCTCAAAAATCCCTCCCTTTTGTTTCACATTCCTCATGCAGCAAACCCCTGAATGAATGTCTCCAGATGAACTGTGCATAACCACATACTCACAAAAGGAACAGTTTTGATCATAATAACCAGTGAAATATATACATATATATATATATATATATATATATAGAAGTGGGGGGTTTTTTTTGTTTGTCGTTGTTTTTAAATCACTAATAACACAAAAACACAAAGAAAGTTTATGACCTTTTCTCCAGAGAAAAGAGATGGGAGCCATTTTTATACCTGATAGTGCTGTTACTGCAGCTCTAGTAGTCTTTCTCTCTTACTCAGAGAAATAGATAATGAAATGTGTTAAACTAAAATGTGATGTAATGTGATGTAAACACATACCGTACAGTTTAAGGCACAAAGTACAAGATAAGCCATTTTCTCAAAGATAAAATATCGAATCACTGTAGCAGCAAAGTCTCTATATGGATCTTTGCTGATTCCAAAGCATTTTTTTATTGGATGAAGTATTTTCTGTGCTAGTAGGCAGTTCTTGCTTGTCCTTAACATATTTTGAATCTTTTTATAAGAAATTGTTGTGTATACATTACTTGTGTGTGAAAACACTTCCTTCCCAGGCAACAACACAAACCCCTGAGCTGATATATCCAAATGATCCAAGAAAATATTGAAAGAGTACTTACAGTGCTACAAGAGGACCCTGCTGCATTCACTTTGTCTGCTCCAGTGTTCTCTTCATTGAACAAGATTCACCAGAGCACCTCCGTTAATCATTAATGACTTCAAATAAAAAAATATCAGTGAAGATACACAGCAAGCAGTAATGATGTTCTGGACATTTTGTCCAATCCAAGCATAATATTGTCAAATGTTAGCTCTGATGAGAGGGACGACATCTTGTGGTGCTACCATGTTTGTGGGTTCCTGTAAGATGCTTGCTGTGTGGGTCTATTGAGAGAGCTGGGCCTCTCATGGCTGCATCCAAGGGTGGTGAATCCCCGTGAAGACTGCCTAGAGCCTAGGCATGGTACAAATGTCAAGAAGACCTCAGCACAGCTCCATAAGAGCACAGCCTCCCTGTCTTTCATCCTCCCAGGTCCAGTCTTGGGGAGATTAAAAAAAAAAAAAAAAAAAAAATGTGGCAAGGCTGCTGACAGGGATACAATCTCTCTATCAGTGTTCCCAAACAGGGTAAGCTGCCTTTAGATCTGTAAAACCCTTCTACCTTACAGTGCTCCTTTTTAACATTTACTACAGGGGGTTTCTTAAAGGGACCAGACTGTGTGCAATTAGTAACGATCTTTAGATTCTCTAGTGAGTAACAGCAACAGACATGTGGCATTACTACTCTAATGAGACATTTCTAGCAGGTGCAGCTGCTTACCTATTGCTGATGACCATAGCCTGTGACTGGGTAACGGTGAAGTGGTGGTGTGGAAGAGTTTTCCTCCTGGTTTTTAGAGGAAAACAAAACAAAACCACAAATAACCCACAAAAAAAAAAAAAAAAAAAAAAAACACACCATGAAAAGAATAGCATGGAAGAGAAAAGGTGCTTGGTGGAAAGCTTTCTTTATCAGCACTGCTGTGTGAAAGACATGAGCTGTAACTCCAGAAAAGCTGCTGGTGCCTGGCCAGCTGCCCAGCAAATCAATGCTAATTTGTTCAGATCAACAGTAGGCAACTGATAGTTCCACCCTGGGAACACAGGCTTGTTTAAAGGAGCACTTGAATAGGTACTGGACACAACTGTACATAGATTATGTGCTCAATAATGGTGATGCCTCCCAAAACACATTCAAGTTCCCTATGTTTCAATGTGTGGCAGCTAACACAGAGACTTCCAGAGACTCTGGAAGCTGTGTCTGATTCAAGCTTCTTTCTGACTTTATAATCAATGGATATCAAGACATTACAATCACAAAATAAACAAGAGAGTTAGGCAAAGTGGACTATGATAACAAGAGAGAATAAATGGGAGGCTTACCCTTATGCTGGGCTCACCACAAAATGCCAATAGAGGCAATCTCCAGAGAAGATCCTTCCCCACTGGAAGCCAGCTCTTAAATAGGTCTAGGAGGGGTGGAGCCAGGCAGCACAGGTGCCTTCCGGCAGCACAGGTGAATTGCCTTCACCTGTGCTCCTCTGGCTGACTCATGGCTCGCCTCAGGTGATCAATCAGAGGTTCAGGCTGTGAGTCGGTAGTTCCCATACACTGATACTAACTAGAAACATATAAAGTAAAGAGTATGCTGCTTACAATAGCAAAAACACATTTATTATGGTTTATAGTCACTGTGGGATTAAGAGAGAGCATTTCAGTGATGCCAAGCTGCCTAGCACTAAGCTGTCCAGTGAGAGGACTTCATTTTCCAGGTTTCACTATGCCAAAAAAACCAGATGTATAAAAAATAATGCATATAATTCCTTCTTAATTTCCCAAGATAGACAAGATTTATTCTGTTCTGTTATCTGGTACGTGTTTGTTGTTGTTGTTGTTGTTTGTTTTTTTGTTTTGTTTTTTTACTTTTATAGCTCTACACTTTATTTCCCTTTGTTATCTCTTTTTCTACCTTGTCAAAATATTAAAGAGGAAAAATAAAGCTAAATAAAATTTCAATGTGCTAAAAAAACAGAGCACACATCCTCAGTAACGTTAATCTCAAGGTTTTCTGTACTTATCACTCCTATATAGTTTCTTAGAATGGCACTAACTTGTCCTGTTGACAGTTGGTTCTCCTAAATGATGAACATTAAAATGATGATATAGGCATAAACCTGGGAGTTGGGAAACAGATTTCTCTCCGAGAAGTCTCCAAGCATGCTGCTGAGGAAACAAATGTCCAAGGAATTGTTTTTAAATATGCTGCTTGATTGTGCAAGATGTGAGCTACTAATTTTAGTCGTGTGAGTAGTATGAGAGCAGTTCCACTGTGGATAATCATTACTGTGTTAAGTCTGAACTAATGACAACAATTAATGTGTTGTGATTTGAATTAAACAAAATATGAAGAAATTGTGTCTAGTTATGAGCTTTTATTAATGTAACAATCACTACAGAAGCACTTTCCTTGAGTGCTTGAAAAACTGTATATTTCCTGGATTTTATATGAGGAAATTTCCACTTTCTAAACCATTTTTTTTTTACTAAAACTTAGAAAGTTTTGCTCAAGTTCAGCAAAAAGAATTCTCATCATCAGAATGGAATGTATCATTAGAAGTGAAAATTTTAAATTTTAGGTAGCAGCAGACTCCTCCCATCAAGCTGTGAAAAAGTAGAAACACCTATCTTTGCCTCATCTTATAGAATTATGATAGATTAGAATCCAGCTCCTCATTTGAGGCAAATTATCCTGTCATTATCATTAGCCCCTAAACTGCCCCAAATAAATTAATGACATTAAAAATCTGACTTTATCCCTCTGTTCTGTTCTAATGCAGGTTAAAAGCATGGTGTCAACATACAGTACTTCATACTGTCAGTAACTGTCATAATACAAATGTTTATTTACTTTGCCCCCCAAATAGCACTTGGGTCTCTCAGCCACTTGCATATTGCTACCTGCTGCCAGCAAAACTTACAGCAGCAAGAGTCTTGCCTGCCACCCCCACAGCAGGAGCAAAATCACATTTCGCCAATTTTCAAATAGTAGCATAATGATTTTTCAATCTCCTACCTCTCAAGAAAGCTGTACTGAAATTTGGCAATAAATTGCATTGTTATGGAGGGTAGCTAAGAGAAGGTGGGTGACTACAAACACGAAAATTTGAGGCTGTTACCTTTGGAAACCAAGATTGTTCTTTTGTTTTCTTTGTGTTTGAGATAATGGTAGTAAAATTGTCTCAGTTTTCACAGCTCATGTGATTCTGTTTTTCACTAGTTATCATTAATATTTTCAGCATCTTTACATTTACTTATGAAAAAGTTATTTTATATTATCTTTCCATAATGATATTTCTCCATTTTTATCATAATTTGCTTTATTTATATGTGCTCTCCAGAAAGCATATATTTTAGTTCAGTTTCTGTTGAATTAGCTGAGATACACCATGGAAGAAGAGAATTTTAGAAATTAATTCCTAAAAGCCTAACACTCCTGAATCTCATATGTACTTTATCTGCGTAATAAAAAAAGCTATTGAAGAACTGCAATAAAATTGGTTTCAGAAAATATTCAGTTGGCAAATTGAGCAAGGTTAAGTCAAAACATGTTAAATAATACACATTTAATTAGATAAATCATGATTGGAAATTCTTATTATCTTGAATCCGCCTTGGAAAAACAGACTGGATATATTTCCATATATAATTAATCCAGAACAGATCAGCCCAGGAGTCCTTTAAATGTAATTGTTTGTAAGACAGTTTAAACTGACTCCTGTAGAACCACTTTGCAAAGGTTTTTTGAGTGTGAACAGTCCATTACGGAACTGGAAAGTGATGAAATTATGCATCTTCGAATGGTTGTTCATTGTAAGTTTTGGACTGAAATTCATTTGCTTCCAAAGAAGAGGAGTTGACCTAAGTTTTGCAGAACCACAGAATCACAGAATTGTAGGGGTTGGAAGGGACCTCCAGAGATCATTGAGTCCAACTCCCATGCCAAAGCAGGTTCCCTACAGCAGGTCGCACAGGTAGGCATCCAGGCAGGTCTTGAACATCTCCAGAGAAGGAGACTCCACCACCTCCCTGGGCAGCCTGTTCCAGTGCTCCGTCACCTCACCATAAAGAAGTTCTTGGACACATTTGCGCAGAACTTCCTATGCTCCAGTTTCTGGCTGTTTCCCCTTGTCCTGTCTCCACACACTGCTGAAAACAGTACATTATATTCAGTACAGAAACAGTTAAGGATATATAGCATTAAACGTTTGCATAGAAATGCATTTCTAAGTGAAAAGGCACCTGTTTACAGGTCTGTTTACTTCTGCTGTAGCTGGGTAAACAAGTCTTTTTCGACATT